GCCTTGTGCAGGTCTACAATTTTATCCCTGATGTCCTTACACAGCTCTCTGGGCTTGGCCATTGTGGAGAGGTTGGAGTCTGTTTGAGTGTGTGGACAGGTGTCTTTTATACAGGTAACGAGTTCAAACAGGTGCAGTTAATACAGGTAATGAGTGGAGAACAGGAGGGCTTCTTAAAGAAAAACTAACAGGTCTGTGAGAGCCGGAATTCTTACTGGTTGGTAGGTGAACACATACTTATGTCATGCAATAAAATGCAAATTAATTACTTAAAAATCATACAATGTGATTTTCTGGATTTTTGTTTTAGATTCCGTCTCTCACAGTTGAAGTGTACCTATGATAAAAATTACAGACTTCTACATGCTTTGTAAGTAGGAAAACCTGCAAAATCGGCAGTGTATCAAATACTTGTTCTCCCCACTGTACATATTTGTAGAATATTCTAACTCCAGAAAGGGTATGTGTCAACATGCTGACATACAGTATCTAAGCCTTTATACTTAGGCATGAACGAATCCACATTTTCAGAAATGTAACATATCTGTAGTCATCCGTATTTCTCAAATTCATAATTTCAATAGATATCCTTACATGATATGTAATATTCATCCTAGTATGTCTGATCGAAAATGGGCTAAATCCGACACATGATCATAGTCCAGCGGCCAAATGATTTGACCTGTTCAGGCGCTGAAAACCATTGTGCTTCTTCAAATGAAGGTGACATATCTGAGCATACATTTGCACCATATTCAGTAGTAGGCTATACAAGACACGGAAAGGCAAACATCATCCTATTTAATCCAAGTTGCTCTTTCCAAAGCACATCTCTGCTATTTCTGTTTAAAAAATGCAGCATAACAAATCCAGAGCTCCGATCACAACACATGTTTTCTGTAAAGATACAAATCTAGGCCAATCTTTGCAAAAAATGTGTTTTATTTATTTAACTGTTTGTTATGGATGCGATGGGGCAGATTGGGTCGTCAGCGGTGGGCCCTCGCAGTCCAGACCCAATGTGGTGGTAGTGTTGGTCTGTGATCCACTCCAAACTCTCAATGCATAAATCATTAATCAAAATTGCAGATATTACAAGAATATATTGTCATTTCACATAATCATACCACAAGGTAGCAACACTCATGACAAGAAAACTAACTGGAACTAGCAGGCTTATATTAACCAGTAATACAAAATATGCCTAAATGTTTTAAAACGTTAGCTATCACCTTGAGGCTTGATAAGGGGTAAAAAAAAAGAAATCCCTGAAGGGAAGGACATTTTGTTATTTGTTAGCTAGCTAGGCTACCATTTAGATTTGACCCCCCCATCAAGCCTAGCTAGCTAGCCTACTGGCTGCTGGCCAAATTAGCTAACGTTCTTGATTCTATTTACTAAGATAAATAAAACATCTCAAATTAGCTACTCACTTTAGCGTTAACTTCTTTGAGGTATTTTCTGAACAGCTTCTCAATTTGTTTCTCCAGTTGTCAGTTCGACCACACACCATTTACACACTCATTTGTGGCGCCTAAATTAAAACATGGAATGCCACAGCAGAAAATGTGATTCTTGTTGCTAGGCTACCAGTTACAGTGGTTTTAGCAATACAAAAAATTATAGCTAGTGTCTGAAAGAATGATATGGATTTAATATTTGTCAAATTCTCGAGCATATCCTCAACTCAAATAAGCATCAGAAATTGTCCTTATTTAGCATATCAAAAAGCATATCAAGATCCTGATATGGACCTCAGTCAAGAGCATATGAATTGTATGTGCTGAGAAAATATACTATGTAGGCCTACTGTCAGTATATGTCATCATATAGAGAAAATAAGATGTCCACGTAGGCCTATCTCAGGAAATCTAATGAGTCAATATATCCGGATTTCATGTGGGGAAAACTCAGAGATGCATCAGAAATCGTCCTGTACAATATCAAAAACGTGTCATGTAACGATATCCCCTGATTATGGACCCTTTTCACCCAGTGTTTCTTTGTCAAAGAAAAATGCAGCTCTTTCTGTGTGTTTCTGTACCAACGAGGTTATCTGAATGACCTCATTCTCTGCTACCCAGAAAGTGTCAGAGGTCAATGGTCTGTCCCTTCACATCCCCCGGCCATGCTCTTTGATGATCACAGCCGTGGCTTCAGATGATGATGAAACCCTACCTCTTCTCTGAGGCGTGTTGACGCTTCTTTGTGTGCTGGCAAACACTGCACTCGCCTTCAGTCTGTAGCAGCCTACTGTGTATTCTCTCACTCTCTCTCATTCCCTCTCTCCCCTAAACTACTCTACTTCTCTCGTTCCCTCTTTCGGCACATACTCCGCTTTCATGATCAGAAAATGTTATCAAAATATGGCGTGACTTATGTCTCGAATGCCGTTTTGACAGAAGAGGAAATTGAGAGGAGTTTCTGTGCGCCACAGGGAGGGGGTGGCTCCAGTGCTTCTATCTGTGGCGCTGTGCCGGGTGCCATGCCCTCATCAAATACGCCCACCACTGACCACCGCCACAGCAATCACTGCTACTGTACCACACTACGTGATACCGGAGAATCCCCTGCCTCAGTTGGAGTGCTTCAGTAGCAAACTTTTCTTTAACAAAAACCCATTGACACACAGGGGTTGAGTGGTTTTATAGGTAATCTGTGATTCTTGATCAGTCTTGACTTGCATATTTGGTTTATTTAAAGGAAGAGCATCTTTTTGATTATGTCTAGATGTGGAACTTCTGAGAAGGTTGTGCCAAACACAGCTTTGGGTTTTGGTATAAAAAAAAGCACTGTAAAATCACCAGGAATTCAGCTAAAAGTGAGTTGTGTATCAATGTAATCAAGGCATGAAATGATTGTTTTCAAATTCGATCAATTTTTGTGTTTAGTTGTGGTCAATTTGTAGTATACAAATTATTATAATTAAAGTATGTTCCCGCCCCCGACCATCCTCTCCGACAAAAATAGGCCTGCAGCTGAATCTAGTGGCCTACCCCTGTTACAGGGTGTATTTAACCATCAGTATCTATGGTTACATGGTGTATTTAAACCATCAGTTATAGGTTTAACATGGGGGTATTTTAAAACCATCAGTTTATAGGTACAGGGGTATTAACAGGGGGTAATTTAACCATCAGTTATAGGTAGGGGTATTTTAACCATCAGTTATAGGTTACATACCCGGGGGTATTTAAACCATCAGTTATAGGTTACATGGTGTAATTTACCATCAGTTTTATAGGTTACTTTAACCCAGTTAAGTGTGGTATTTAACCATCAGTTATAGGTTACAGGGGGTATTTAACCATCAGTTATAGGTTACAGGGGGTATTTAACCATCAGTTATAGGTTACAGGGTGTATTTAACCATCAGTTATAGGTTACAGGGGGTATTTAACCATCAGTTATAGGTTACATGGTGTATTTAACCATCAGTTATAGGTTACAGGTGGTATTTAACCATCAGTATAGTTAGGGGTTTACCTCAATAGGTTAACAGGGGTATTTAACCATCAGTTATAGGTTACAGGGGGTATTTAACATCAGTTATAGGTGTAAGGGGGTAGTTAACCATCAGTTATAGGTTACAGGGGTATTTAACCATCAGTTAGGTACAGGGGATTTAACCGATAGTTCCGGGGGTATTTAAACCATCAGTTTAAGAGGTACGGGGGTATTACATCAGTTATAGGGTTACGAGGGGGTATTTAACCGTCATTATAGGTTACAGGGGTATTTACATCAGATGAGGTTACAAGAGAAGGGGTAATTTACCATCGTTATAGGTTACAGGGGTATTTAAAACCATGCAAATTATAAGGTTACAGGGGTAAATTAACCATCAGTTATGAGGTTACAGGGTGTATTTAACCATCAGTTATAGGTTACGGGGTATTTAACCATCAGTTATAGGTTACAGGGGTATTTAACCATCAGTTATAGGTTACAGGGGGTATTTAACCAATCAGTTATAGGTTACAGGGGGTATTTAACCATCAGTTATAGGTTACAGGGGTATTTAACCATCAGTTATAGGTTACAGGGGTATTTAACCATCAGTTATAGGTTACAGGGGGTATTAAACCATCAGTTAAGGTTACAGGGGTATTTAACCATCAGTTATAGGTTACAGGGGTATTTAACCATCAGTTATAGGTTACAGGGGGTATTTAACCATCAGTTATAGGTTACAGGGGGTATTTATTATATACCAGGGTATTTTATAGGTTACAGGGGGTAATTTAACCATCAGTTCTAGGTTACAGGGGGTTTTTAACCATCAGTTATAGGTTACAGGGGGTATTTAACCATCAGTTATAGGTTAAAAAGGGGTTGGTAAACCATCAGTTATAGGTTACAGGGGTATTTAACCATCAGTTTAGGGTTACACAAGGAGGTATTTAACCATCAGTTATAGGTTACAGGGGTATTTAACCATCAGTTATAGGTTACAGGGGGTATTAACCATCAGTTAAGGTTACAGGGGGTATTTAACCATCAGTTAAGGTACAGGGGTATTTTAACCATCAGTTATAGGTTACAGGGGTATTTAACCATCAGTTATAGGTTACAGGGGGTATTTAACCATCAGTTATAGGTACCAGGGGTATTTAAACCCATCAGTTATAGGTTACAGGGTGTATTTAACCATCAGTTATAGGTTACAGGGTGTATTTAACCATCAGTTATAGGTTACAGGGGGTATTTAACCATCAGTTATAGGTTACAGGGTGTATTTAACCATCAGTTATAGGTTACAGGGTGTATTTAACCATCAGTTATAGGTTACAGGGTGTATTTAACCATCAGTTATAGGTTACAGGGTGTATTTAACCATCAGTTATAGGTTACAGGGGGTATTTAACCATCAGTTATAGGTTACAGGGGGTATTTAACCATCAGTTATAGGTTACAGGGTGTATTTAACCTGGGCTAACAGTGCCCCTATGATGCTTGACTAAACTAACGCTCCTCTTCTTTCTCTTTCTGTGCCAGGACCAAGCCATGGAGAGGTGGACACACAGGAGTGCTTGTTCTATAATGTCAACTATGAGATCGAGAAGACTAACCAGAGTGGGGTAGAGCGCTGCGAGGGTGAGAAGGACAAGCGTTCACACTGCTACGCCTCATGGCGCAACAACTCGGGCACCATAGAGCTGGTGAAGAAGGGCTGCTGGCTGGATGACTTCAACTGCTATGACAGGTAGAATCTCCTACCATTGTGCCTCTCTTTATTGTACATTCATTAAACTCTGTCTTCCTCCGCCTAAAAGATTAGAGTCCTTGTATTCTTGAAGAGTCTCTCAGGATGGGAGTGCTGATCTAGCATCAGGTCCCCCCTGCCCATATAACAGTATTCATTAAGGTCTAAAGGCAAAAATGGATCCTATATCAGCAGTCCTACTCTGAGACGCTTTATCAAAACAGACCCTGGTGGGGAGCTGAGGTAGAATCTGTGTGTCCCCTATGGTTGTATAGGCGAGTTTAAATATCGACTCAATGGCATCAAATGTTTTCATTTCCCCAGTGTGATCAAAGTCTCAACAAATGTTAGTGAAGCACAATCATACGTCACTGTATGATAATGACTGTTACTCTAACCATCAGATATCACCGTATATAAAACATTACTGCATTGACTTCACCGCTGGCATGTGTGTGCAAACTCACACAAGATTGTCTCAGACGTTTGCTTGCATTACCCAACATTTTTGTTTTCATTTCATTTATTGGAAGCTTTATTGGATTCTATATTAAATGTCTCTCCGTCAAACTGGAATATTCAATTATCCCGCGCCTGGCGGGTCTCGTAGGTGCTCGATAACTTCTCGGGAGAAGTCAGGTGGAGTGGTGCGGTAGATTTTTCAACCAGTTGCCTGCTGCCATTGCAATCTATTTCCGGCCTTGCTCCCGAGACCAAGATAAATCATTAAATAAATGGATCCGGATAAGAAGCTTGAATACAGTCACTTCTCCACAGATACACATTAGAGAGGACCAAAGTGCCTTAGGTTTTGACTAGGACCAATCCACCGCATTGTTTACAGAGAGAGACAAATGTTGTATGGATGTGTACATGGTTTGAATGATCAACTCGAAAATAATGTATCTGCAGGATATTTGTAGAATAGCTGAAAAACATTGTTTTGTAGTGTTGAATGAGAAAAGCCAAGGTACCAATGCATTAAGGGCTTTTGTTTTGGGATATTTAACCAGACGTTTTCTAAAAGCTCAATTCTAAAGCTGCGTTAGCATCCCACTATAAAAAAGGCTATCTATGAAACAATTCTCCGATCCCTCATCAGTGCGAAAGTGGCCCAGCAACAATGACTGATCTTGAAACGCAACGGCAGCAATCCGAGTTTGCTTAAAACTAGAGGTCACCACTTCTTAAAATAGCAGACGAGCAGTCTCCGGTGCATGTTTGAAAGACCAAACATTGAAGTGTGTTGAGTGACGGGCTTAAGTCTGAAAGCTTTTTTTTAAATGCTCAGGACTGTTGTAGATTAGACTTCGGTAAAGATATGTTATTTTGCCGGCATGGGTGAGGTGGTCCGACTTGCTCTGAATTAATTGTGCAACATAATACCCTGTGGGATCAAAGATCCAGGTACCTCGAATGCATTGATATATATGCATTGAAATAGTGAAGCATTTAAGTTGATCCTGGAGGCCACAGTTATCTCAGTGTGATCCCTCTAATCTAGACATACAATGGATGTCTTCAAATGTCAATCTTCAAATTCGCATCATGATTACAAGCATGTTTCTGGTTGGAGTTCATATTGGGACAGCTTGAGGAGACTCTCACAAGGCTAAGCAGCCCTTAATCCCGGCCTCCTTCCAGTGTTGTCAGGGGCGACTGGCTGGCCTCGCCATTGGCTCTGGCTCTCTGAGGAGAGAGGACACTGCCCAATGACCCGACACATTGCTGACATGGCCCGACACTGCCGATGTGCCTGGCGCCAGCAGAATCATGGCGACACCGCCACTCCTCCCACTCCTGTCCTCCACAGAGGTCAATAAGTCGTTTCGCAGAGGGCCAACAGTGTGAGCGTTGCATGGCGAGGGAAGGGAAGGGAATGGAGGGAGGTGGTTAGCTAAGGGTTAGTTAGGTGTCTGAGCAGGTCATAGGCTCTAGTTCGGTCTCCGGAGTCTTGTTCAGTAGGGCACGCTGTAGCAAAGCTTTTTAAAACATCTGACAACGAAAATGTAAAAACAGTTTCTTATTGGACAGTTTCAGATAGAACCTTCATGTTTCACTGCTTTTCATAGTGTTCTGAACATGACATGCCATAGGGTATAACCACATTCTCTCTGAAGTACTGAAGTAAATGGAAAGCTGAGGCGCTCCCTTCGCTACCCTAGACTAAAGCCTTTCCCTTTGACGGTCACTTAAATGTTGTCTCTCATTCTTTTGTTCTTTCTCTCAGGCAAGAGTGTGTGGCGACAGAGGAGAATCCTCAGGTGTTCTTCTGCTGCTGCGAGGGGAACTTCTGCAACGAGAGGTTCACCCACCTGCCTGACGTCAACGGACCAAGTTAGTAAACCTGTAGGACTCGGATCTCTTTCCTCTGTGTTACATCCATATAAATAGAAAGTAGATATGACCACAGTCCACCCGTCACAGAACATGAAAGGAAAGGTCCGTGCTACTAATTACATTTATATGGTTAGGCTACACCTTGGTTAAAATGTTCTACACATTCTGCTCTGGCCTGTGCAGATCAGAAGATCCATATATGATGGGGTTCCTGATATGTTAAAACACCTCAAGGCATTGTTAAGATCTGATATACCTTGCAGACCTGTGTAGAATTTTGTGTTCCTGGAATGCACCCCTGATCACTCCCGTACTCCTCTTTCTGGCGTCAGATGTCAACGGCTAGTCAAATGTAGACATTATATTGACCTATATCTGAATTAGCTTATGTCGTCATTTTGGAATATTTGATTTTCCCATTTACTGCTCGCTCCATTTGTTTCAGAACCAATATCACCCGCTTTGCTGTGGTATCCTACTATTATGATATCTTGGTATGTTATTGTGGTATTCTAACCCTGCCTGGTGTGAAGCCCAGTAGGTTATTATATTTGACATCCATGTAAGACCTATACCAGCTTTAAACCCTCACCCAGGGTTAAGTATTGACTTTGTTCCACAAACAGTCCTCACAGTGGGGTATTGGAAGATCTTAAACACAATGGACAGAAATGTGCAAGAGGCCACACGAGTATTGAATTACACCCCCTGTTTGCAGACTGACGCTCGGAAAGTTAGGGGCAATTCTGCGCAGGAGAATAGCACCTCTAACATTTTACAGCTCCCTTTCCTCTCCAGATATTCTTGAGCACACAGATATCCAGACAGGCAGCAAACCTATTTGTGTGTTAAAGCCAAAGCTTGGCTTAGAAGGGTGAAATAAACCTATAGTGTGTGCCTAATCAATACCTCTGCCAGTTGCCCCTCTCCTCTTTCTCCCCTCCCTCACTCTACCTCTCTCTCTCTCCCTATCCTTCCCTCCTTTACACTACTCTCTCCCTCTTCTCTCCCCTTCTTCCTCCCTCTACCTTATCCTCCTTTCATTTTCCCTTCCTTCCTCCCTCCATCTTTCCTCTCTCGCTCTCTCCCCCCTTGCTCCTCTCCATGGCTGCTTGGTAACACTGTGTTCTGTCCCTCTCTCTCTCTCTCCTTCCAGTGATCAAGCCGCCTCCCCCCACGCCCACCCTAGTCAATGTGCTGGTCTACTCACTGCTGCCTATCACCATGCTCTCCATGGCCCTGCTGCTGGCCTTCTGGATGTACCGCCACCGTAAGCCGCCCTATGGCCACGTGGACATCAACGAGGTCGGCCTATTCCCCTCCCTAGCTACGTATCTTTCACTTTTGCTTCCAGTCCCTCTTCTGTTCTCATCTTCGAATGACTGAATTTATTTGACATGTTTAAAATGGATGTAGACTTGCCTCAGCCGATTTGGAACAATACACACACACACACACACAAAAAAACAATTGAGGATTAAAATCAAAATAAAGTTACTACTTATTGTGGTCCTCCTGTCTGTCGGTATTGTTGGCTCTCTTTGTCTGTAGATATAGCTGTTTACTTATCTTCTGTGGTACTACTTCTTTCCAGTTTGTGGTTTCTCACTCCTGTATTCTCTTGCCCTTTCCCTTTTCATCCCTTGTTTTTGGGAGGCCATCTTGTTAGCAGCTCCTAAGCTGCCAAGTAGGCCACACTGGACCTCTGTTAACGACTAGCTCCATCTAGAGGTAGTCGGGTGCCACTGGGGTGGGATATAGGTCCCTCCTATATGACCGTTGTTAGTTTACTACTGTCAGTTGTCAGTATGTGTACATCTACTTTACATTAGCCGTTGTGCATAAGGGCTCATCTGTTTTTCTTCTTAACTGTTTTGCAACAGAATATTAGAATTCATATTTTACATTGATATAAAAGCTCCAGGTATTATAAGTTGTGAGTGGCAATCAATCCTCATAACCGTGTTGAATATAATGACCCAGTCTTTCCCTGTACTGACCTCTGACCTCTTTATCTACCAGGATCCTGGCCTAGTTACCCCTCCCTCTCCCCTGGTAGGGCTCAAACCCCTGCAGTTGCTGGAGATTAAGGCCAGGGGGCGCTTCGGCTGCGTATGGAAGGCCCAGATGATGAATGAATATGTGGCTGTCAAGGTCTTCCCCATTCAGGTAAGTGGCCAAAAGGTGGATTCAACTGTCTGTCTGTCTGTCTGTCCTCTGAAGCCTTGGTGTAACATTCCCGCTTTATTTGTGTGTCCTCCCACAGGATAAACAGTCGTGGACGAACGAGCGGGACGTGTTCCTCACGCCGGGGATGAAGCACGAGAACCTGCTGCGCTACATCGCTGCAGAGAAGCGCGGGACCAACCTGGAGATGGAGCTGTGGCTCATCTCTGAGTTCCACGAGAGGGTGAGGAGGGAGACGGGGGTGGAGGCAGAGGTGTTAAGGTGTGGGGAGGTTAGGTTTGGGGGAGGAAGTATAAAACTAGCTCTAAGTCTGGGTCATTAGTTTACATCAGTTAGCCATCACAAGGTCCCGCCACTGAGCTTTAGCAATGTTCTCTAGGCGTTCATATCAGGTTTGCTACAGAGACCCACCATTTTATTTATTTATTGGCACTGAGGAAGCTGTGTTTTGTTGCTCTGAGAGGTATTGCCTTTTAATTTTCCTCGCTGTTTAATTTTCAATAGCGTGAAAGTTGTTTGCTACAATTTAATAACACTCAATTTGACAGACCACAGTGGGTTGGCTGGCATTTCATTGATCTCAGACATTAAACGATGTGAATATGAATGATGTCAACCCTGTCTCTGCAGTTGAATACACTTCTATTTTTCCCAGTTCAATCATTGACAAGCGATTTAGTGTGCTCTGGGGATGTCTTAATGTAGCTAGTTGTTAACAGCTCCACTTCTCTCTCTGTCGCTCTCTCATTCTTTTTCTCTTGTTCTGTGTATGTGCGTGTGTCTGTGTATGTGTGTGTGTGTGTCTGTCTATGCTCCAGGGCTCCCTGACGGACTATCTGAAAGGGAATGCAATCAGCTGGACTGAGCTGTGTCACATCGCTGAGACCATGGCCTGCGGGCTGGCCTACCTGCACGAGGACGTGCCCCGCTACAAAGGAGAGGGACCCAAACCGGCCATCGCTCACAGGTAAGGCACACGAGGACAGCACTTAGGTGTGTGTTAGTGCTGAGCGAATTTTAAACAACTAATTGACCGACGTCGGTTCAATAATTAGAATTCCATTTCGTTTCGTGAGATAAATCAGATCCAGCCTGAACTGTGCGATGTTGTAGTTTCCAACTGGCCAATATTCTACATAGTTTAGCGCATTAAATGTGGTCATTAACTACAATGACCACAATCCATTGCGCATCTACTTGTCCGGTCTGAGTTTCTTTTATGCCTGCTACGGAAGAGACAAGAATGCGAGATTGTGAGGTGATATAGAGAGCAGCTGTTGCTTCGCGAGGTATCTCTATATGAAAATACATGATCTAAGTGATTGATAGTTGGTATTCAGCAGTCATAAAAAAAGTATGCCTTATTTATTTTGAAGAACTACAAAATTGGGATTTTGTCAGACAGCATAGGCAGCAGCTCTATATAGATGAGATGATGACTTGGAATTAAATAATAGTCATCAAGTAAAACAAATGTAATATACATAACTGAAATATTTTATTAAAGTAATGTGAATAAATGATAGTTAATAAGTGATAAGCAGTAATGAGCAGTCACTACCATCATGGGACTTTTATTAATTGTTTTATTCTGCGTTGTTACAGCATTCAACCCGCATTATGCATAGTGCATTTAATGTAAAATAAATAAATATCGAAATTGAAAACGTGATTATTTAAGAATCGAACCGAAACAGAACCGACCTGAAAAAGCCATAATTGCTCAGCACTAGTGTGTGTTTGCAAAAAAAAGAGAAAGAGGAACATTCGACTTGGGGTTCGAGCAGCTTTTTGTTTTCTCAATGACCTATCTGGCTAAGTAAAGATGAGGTTAATCCTATAGCGTATTGATGTTTATGCTGAATCTTTGTTCTGTCTGCGGTCCCCTGTGTCTTCATTCTGCAATCAGGAGGCATCTACCCCTGAGGGAGCCTGTTATTTTAACAGCACTCAAACCTCTGGACTGCAATATTTTTCTGCAGGATATCAAAATTGTTTACAGTTTATTCCATTGGGAAAACACTTCAATTCGGTTATAATCAAACCGAGCCATAAGTCTAGACATGACTGTTCTCTGTGGGAAGTGAGTCTGTCTTCTTTATTTGTGTGTAGTTCAGGATAAGGTCAGGCTTTCAAAAGAGGGGGGGGGGGGGAGGGAGAGACTCTCAGGCCAATCATTGATGTTAATTGATTGGCTAAAAAAGAAAACTATGTTAGAGTTGAGTAGGGAGAAAAAGTTTCAAAATGGGGAGGTTCTACCTGACCATGTCCAGTAACAACACACCTTTTCGTTTTCCGCCGCAAAACATTTTGCTACATTGTGCCCTACTGAACATGACCCAGCTCGGCCCTCAAGCCATGTGGTTAAATAGCACTGCTCTACACCATCACTGATCCCCCTTCCTAACTGCCTTCTCCCCTCCAGGGACTTCAAGAGTAAGAACGTGATGCTGCGGACGGACCTGACGGCCATCATCGGGGACTTTGGGCTGGCGGTGCGGTTCGAACCGGGCAAGCCCCCAGGGGACACTCACGGCCAGGTGAGTGGGCCACCATCAGTCTGGTTGCGTCCCAAATGGCATAGAGTTAACTACTTTTGACCAGTGTACAGAAATTAGAAAGCCATTTTCAGCCACGAAAATGTATCATACAAACTATGAACAAGGAACATCATGAAGACACTGTTTTAAAGCTAGCTCCACGTACTCACACGACAAGGAAGTGTGTGTGTGTGTGTGTGTGTGCGTCCGCTTGTTTGTGTGTGTAGTGGACCTTGTCTGACGGTGTCTTGTCCGTCCAGGTGGGTACCAGGCGCTACATGGCACCGGAGGTCCTGGAAGGGGCCATAAACTTCCAGCGGGATGCCTTCCTCAGGATAGACATGTACGCCATGGGCCTGGTGCTGTGGGAGCTGGTGTCGCGCTGCAAGGCGGCCGACGGTGAGTAATACACACATGCAAACAGGCACACAGGATCCTACTCTGCGATTTATCAGCAACCATACCACATTGGAACCAGGATAAGAACTTTTAATGCTTTGTAATCGACAAATGAGAAAACATGACTGTTGATAGCTTATGGGTAACGACGTAGCATGTCCTATAAGGCGTTCCATGCTAAGACACGTTGCTGTTGTGTTGTATGGTCAGGCCCGGTGGATGAATACATGCTGCCGTTTGAGGAGGAGATCGGCCAGCACCCGTCCCTGGAGGACTTACAGGAGGTGGTGGTCCACAAAAAGATGAGGCCGGTCTTCAAGGACTGCTGGCTCAAACACGCTGTGAGTATGCAAGCTCTTTCGCCAACGCAGAGAGCAGTGGGTCAATACTGTGATGTACTTACAGCAGTACAGTTTGATTCACATTTCCCACAATATGTCACCCAGGTTTAACTTAAGCGCATAAACATGATGTTGCCTCTGTCATATTAACTGAACCATATGAACAGTCAACAGTTAATACACATTTAATACATGTAATAAACACTGAATAAGCAGTTAATACATGTAATAAACACTGAATAAGCAGATTGGTTTAGCTAAGTGCTGAGATGTTCCTGTCTCCCAGGGCCTGGAGTCGATGTGTGAGACTATAGAGGAGTGCTGGGACCATGACGCCGAGGCGCGCCTCTCTGCTGGCTGCGTGGAGGAGCGCATCTCACAGATCCGCCGGCTGACCAGCCCCCCTACCTCGGACTGCCTGGTCTCCATGGTGACCTCTGTCACCAACGTGGACTTGCCACCCAAAGAGTCCAGTATCTGAGTCTCAACCGTACCACCACCAACCCACCCAACGCAGAGCGACAACAAGCAAGCAAGCATACAAAACAACCACCCTCGTCTTCTTCTTAAGCCTCAGCGGATCTCAGAAAAAAAACATGAATGCAGCTGCTATTTTATCCTGACATTTTTTTTCTATTAATTATAATTATTTGTATTTTATTTCCGATCGGATCACTATTACCAGCACACTTCTTCTCTACTGTTGTTTTTTTATCAAGAAAGGACAAGAAAAAAATACTTTTAAAAAAGCTACATGGACATCTCAAAAGCGCATTCAGGTGCCGACTTATGAATGCTGGTGCAGGTACCTCAGATGTTTTCAGCTCTCAGTAGTTTATTTTGGTTTAGTTTATTCCTCTTTTTCTGTCTTCTGGACAGGATTGCCTGTGACAAAACCAACCAACTCACTCACCCACCAACCAAGCAACCATCTACCACTTTGGACAATACAACGATGCTGCAAAAACCTTGTAGGAACATTAAGACTGTTACACACAACTAACCTTCCTCAAGGGATTTTAGTTTTCAGAAAACTTTTCCTTTCCGACAGCATGTCCCATACGAACCTTCGGAACTAACGGGTGTCTCTAGAACACAGGGAAAAGTGGAAGACAACTGGACTAATTTATTTTTGTTTTTTTCTATGTTCAGACTGGTGACTATGGATAGGGTTGGCTAAAGCATTCTTATGAGTGCATGTTGAAAAGTTCAAAAGGAAATGGCTTACATTCAGAGATTGGACATCACAGCATCTGAATAGTGCATTTGGTTTGGTATGGAACTACTTCTCAGGTATCCAGTCTCAAGGGGTCAGGAGATGTTGATTTGAGGTGATATCGCAACGCGTCCTGTAAAGTAGGGCGAGAGCCACAACTGCCGCCCTTGATGGGTCGGTGGGGGCAAACTTTAGTGGGAGGGGCTTTTCTGACTTGGTTCAGAGCCTTTTTATCTGAGATCAAAATGGAGTCTAAACACGGAACGTGCCCAAACAACTACAAAAACCACAATAGGTGCAAGCCCCTGGTGAAGATATGTATACATTTTAGGTGTGAGAATGAGTGTGTGTATGTGTTTGCGTGTGACTATTTGTGCAGTTATCGTGAGAGTGTGTGTGTGTGGCGGAGAGAGATGAAGATTAAGACCGTGAAAACAGCTGAAGATAAGTTAAATGTCTTTCTTTTCTTTTTTGATGTCTTTTCTTTTTTTATTTCTCCTTCAGTCAGTATATTGGACATTGGGAGCTAAGGACCTAGACTCTTATCCACAGAGACCCATCTTAGGCCTCAACAAAAGCCTATATCCTTCACTGGTGTCGAGCGGGAGGGAGTAAAGTTCAATCATCACTGCCTGGTCCATTTGTGATTTACCTCTTTCGCACAGGGACCAAACTTCGAGTTTGGACCGGGTAGGTCCTGCATTGTAGAACTGTTTTCGACAGGGCACCGAGCGTAACAAGCGGTTTAAACTTAACTTCATTACGATTAGTTACACGTTCTCATTCATTAGAAGGAAAAAAAGAAACTGAAAACGAACATGGAACTTTTTTTGTCTTAAAAGTGGCACGCAAGAAACCACATTTCTGTATGCCATAATGTAACAGTGAATGTCCACAATGCTGCTGTTTCAACTCAAAGATGAATATATTTCTGTGTATTCCTTTTTTTCTGTGGGTTACATGTGCAACTCTCAGTAGTAAAGGAAACATGCATACAATAGCAAAAGTACGTTGGTAGACATGACAAGGCTTCCGAGGTGAACAATAAAATCTAGTAGAGATAAAATATAAAACGAAAACGCAAAAAAATTAAAATAAATCATGAACCACAGACCACCTCAAACCAGAAATACCTCAGATTTTTCTACGTGTACGAGTTCTGTTATATATTTTGTTAGTTGTGTTGACTTATAGTAAGTATATTTTAATGTGAGTTTTTTGGCTTTTATGATTAGGGAGTTTTGGAAAAATAAAATAGTGCTACCGCGTCATGTTGTATAAATGAAAGAAAATTGTGTAAATAGATGTATACAGTTGTAGAATTATACCTATATATGACATCTAGGCATTATTCATGATTTGTGCTGGCTTTTTCCCCCCCAAGTCTTTTTTTCCTCTCCGTTACCTAAAGGGACATTGAACCTTGTATTTGGTTTTCCTCCCAAAAAAACAAATATCCACCCACCACCACCGTGTCTCACCTGTAATATTTTTGCATACCCCATGATATACCTTTGGTTTGTCATTGCTTTTAAAATGTATTTTAATGACTTATCCCATTCCTTGATTAAAATATAAAGCATTTATATGGAAAATACTAATTGAGTACCAAGAGATACCATTGAATTTCCTTATACAAAGCAACGCGTCTCCAAATTAGTTTCTCTCTCGATTTATAGCGTTCTAACTTTTTAAAGCATAGTCATATTTTTGTGAAATTGTTCTCAATTGATGATTGATTTGATAGCGCCTTCAAAGGGGGAGGGGAAAGGTTTAGTGTCCCTGGATTCTCATCCCCTTCGTCTCCTTTCACACATTGACTGACGAGGCACCGTGGCGGGGCTTCAGCACCTTAAAAACACTACATCCTACAGACCAGAGCTTTAAGTTATTATTGAAGATGTCATACGTTCTTTTAAGGTTCTACACAGTTTAGCAGCGTTCCACGTGTGTGTAAGTGGAACCATGTGCGCAGTGTCTTTCAGGGTGTTTTAGTGATACCCATGGAGAAGCGAGAGCTTCGAGACACTCATGACTTCAATCTCTTGTCATCATGAACCCCAGTGTTTGATGTGGGCCCGCATATCGCTGCGATCTGGCTGCTTTGAGTAGTAAAACCACAGCTAGCTTTATTTGAGCTTTTGGGGTTAGGAAACTTGAACATATATTTAGGTCTGTAAAGAGACTACTTTTCAAGGAGCCCCTCTTTCTCTGTGTGATATTTGCAGAGAGGGCAAGAAAATAATAAGAACTTATTTTGCCAAGGTAGCACGCTCATTTAACACTTTTTTGTTTCTCTGGATTGACTCCCCACTATTTTATCATTAACCAGGATGGAGGTATTCTTGGTTTGATTTCAATGCCTTGTTAGCAAATCAGGGTTATTTTTGTGTCAAATGATCAGGTTAGTGTTTGATGTCTATCTTTTCAGGAAGCTTATTGTAACACGATATGGTTTACTGTATTTCTGCTATAAATGTGATGGGATCAAGAAATTGCAAGTTTGGATATAAAATGTAGCAAGCAATATCTACAGCAATAGTTCTACATATTTCTGATATGACAGAATAACCTCATAGGTACTGCAATAGGCCCTTGAGCTAGTGACCAACCAAAACATCTTGTTCAAGATGCGCTTTGTTGTGAAGAGGAAGGCTGGTGGGTTTGCAGATCCCAAGTCATTGTCATAATGCTCGTTGAGTTATGATAGGTTGACCTTTTCTTCTGTTATAGACCTTTAACCATGGGAAAAATGTAGCCAAATTCCTTGCACCTAAATCTGAAAGAGGGGGAACCAAATTCTTTCTTTTTTAAATTTTTGAGAGGGTTTGTAATCTGTCCCCACTCTCTCCCTTTGCTGTTAATGTGTAACAAAGTCTTTGACTTTGATGATTTGAGAAGCTAGACAAAATTATCTGACGTGTTCTCCTTTATTTGACCTGCTTTTACCTTTTTGCCGCCTTTTCAAGAGTTAAGTGGATTCATTTGATGGGGAGGGAGTGGGAGTGCAGGGAGTAAGGTCTACAAAGTGAGTGGTTAGACTTCAAAATTGAAATCTCTAAGGTTTCTTTCTAAATAGTGGCCTGATGCACTCTCAGCATTACATATGCCATGCGGTCTTAAGGGTTTAATTCGTTCTATTTTTGGGGGGATTATGCAGTACCAATCGGTGGTTTTAAAGTTTTAGCCTCGATGGGAAAGGCAAGTATTACTCTGGTCTTTCATCATTGTCTGGGTTTTTACTCAGGTGCCATTTTTTTAATTATTCTACCGTCGCTCTAGTTTTTTATTTGAGAGCATAGGGATGGGAAATGGGTGCTGGACTTAACACATCTTTCCAAATGAATGTTTTAGCTTTAGTGCATTGGACATAGGGTAAAATCAGTGATCTATTACTACCAATACTCACATTTGGGTTCATGATGACAAAGCTGAAGTCTTGGAATACAAACAGCATGTAATATCAGTATTATTGCTGGAGCGTTGGACTTAAATTCTGAGGTGTTCTGATGTTGTGCCTTTATTTTCCTCATGGTCGTTGCTGAAGCCACCGCTGCGGCGCCCCTCTTTGTTTATTTGTTATTAGTACCTGACAAAAAAATGCTATGTGTGTGGTGTATATTATAAGAATATACACATATATGTATATATCCATATATATACATATATATACACATATAAGAGTATCTATAATATATATATATAGAAATATAGATATACACATATTGTATATACATATATATATATAAAAAAAAATATATGTATATATACATATAAGATATAAAAAAAAAAAAAATATCGAATATAGATATATAATTATTTTTTTTATTTATAACATATATATTATATATATTTTTTTATATTATTATATGTATTATACATATTGTGTTATTATATTATATATATATATATATATACATTATGTGTCTATTATGTATATCTCCATATATGTGTATATATATATTATGTATATAACTGTGTTATGTACCTATTTATGTCTATTGTACTCTGATATATAATGTATATATATCTATATCTAAAAAAATATTAAAAAGTGACCAGCTGTAATTCTGGATGCAGTCTTAGATCCAGGTTGTTCAGGAACCAATTACCTCAGACCTCACGTGAAACAGTGTTGCTAGCTGGATAGTCGTCGATACTACAGAAAAATGATGTACACTTTCGTCATACCAACAGGAAACCTTGTTTGTACTGGTGTAACATGTATGATCCACCCCTTGACAATGTGAAAACCCTCTTCC